ATCTCCATCTACCATTCCGGTGTTTTCCAGACCATTTCTTTATGTGTCATGGACTATGCTTCCTCCACACTCCCATAGAGCCCCTCCCCTACCCCCTTTCTTCAGCAAACAACATACTAGTAGAAGGCATAGAACAGCCCCTGCACACCTGTCCTAGAAGCCCCTCCTTCCTACTTAGGCTGCTTCCTATGGATGGTTAGATATGGTTCACATTTAGAAGGGCAATGGCAGGCAGGATCATAGAGACAGGGAATCAGACCCAATAATTTTGTGCTTAAAGGTGATGTGGAGATATATTTTTCTAACAAATGAAAGAAAGTACTCTTTCTGGTGGAATTGCAGCAGCAGAATAGGTGGGAATGGGGAGGTTAAATACCAACCCCACCACACACAGGACCCCCAAACCCCAAGTTCCACCTACAACCTCCTTCCCTCCTCGGTACCCTTGACTCCCTAACTCCTCACTTCATGATTCCAGTCCTCCTCTTCCTCCTCCACTCTTCTGGCTGCACACTCATCCCTTCTGCCTTTTATTTAGCCTGTTAACAGTTTTGGCTCCCCACAACCACCTTCAAAACACACACACAGCCGAATCCGGTTTGGCTCAGTGGATAGAGCGTCAGCCTGAGGACTGAAAGGTCCTGGGTTCAATTCCAGTCAAAGGCATGTACCTGGGTTGTGGGCACATCCCCAGTAGGAGGTGTGTAAGAGGCAGCTGATCGATGATTCCCTCTCATCGATGTTTCTAATTCTCTATCCCTCTCCTTTCCTCTATGTAAAAAATCAATAAAATATATTAAAACACACACACACACACACACACACACACACACACACACACACATTCTGACTTTAACTGGATCTGAAGACAAGATATTTCTCACTATTCTGTGTGGTTAGCTGTTGTTGGGAAGTGGAACAAGAAGGCCATATGCAAAGGTGTTGAATGTGGCCATTTTTCTTATCATGTACCAAGTTCATTGAGAGAGAGAGAGAGAGAGAGAGAGAGAGAGAGAGAGAGAGAGAGAGAGAGAGAGAAGAAGAAGAAGAAGAAGAAGAAGAAGAAGAAGAAGAAGAAGAAGAAGAAGAAGAAGAAGGAGGAGGAGGAGGAGGAGGAGGAGGAGGAGGAGGAGGAGGAGAAGAAGAGAAGGAGGAGGAGGAGGAAGAAATTGAACACCCAGAGAGAAGAAATGAAAGACCACAGGGCTAAAAGGAACAAGGCAGTAATTCTGCCCCTCATGAGACTTATGGTATTGGCCTCCCCAAAGAGATGTGCTCTTTCTGCATACTTCACTTTGTTTTAGCCACTTTGAGTCTGTCTCTGCTTCTTGCAACTCAATCATTCCAGATTAAGATATTTTCTTTCCCTGGTTGGCAAGCTACCCTGAAGTCATTAGGATTCTGATCAAAAATCCTCTCTAGCGTGAAGCCTCCATTGTGGCTTCCCCCCAGATTGGCTCACACACATGAGAATGTGGCCCAGTTCATGTAGCTGCTCCCTCCTTGCCTAGGAACCCCTTGAGGGAAGAGACACCTCTCTCTAAATCCCCAGCAGTTTCCACAGTGCCTCATGTGCCAGCTGCTCAACAAACATTTAATAAATGAATGGATTCATTGATAGATGGACAGGGGGCCGCTTTTCCACTTTCTATCATTGAACTTTGTACAATTAAAACGAAAGTGCTCTGGTTTCCCTTACACTTACCCACACAACTCCCAGCCTGCAGTCTTCACAGACAGGTATGATCCTCAGGAAAGGCCTGCTCTCTTTTGGGTTTCTTCTCACCACTTTTTTGGGGGGTGGTTTTGACTAATTCCAAATCATTCCATGAGCTTTTATTCAAGGACTAAGACTGTACAACAACCAAGTTATTCCTAAATGCCAGTCCAGGCATGGGCTATTCCAGAATCAGCTCAGCTCAGACCTGCTGAATCTGTCTGAGAGAAGACAGAGGAATCCCTGCTTCAGCAGGCTGAAAAGAATGGTCAGCCAGGTTTGGGGCCACCTGGCTGGGTCTCAGTGCTTCTGAAGGTAGGTTGCAGGTCTGTGCATTGAGGGAGATGTTGGGCCCTATTCTGATCAGCGACTGGTCCTGCTCAAAAGAGAGCAGAGCAAGAGGGCTCTACTGACCTGCAGTGTGGACAAAGACTTCCATCCAAGATTGCCTCCTCACCCTTCTCTTCCTCATTATTGTCCTTGCTCATCCTCCACTTCAAGTGCTCCTCAAATCTAGCGTGGACAATCCATTCCCAGATCATTTTCGGTGTCTGATCTCTCCTGTGACCAACCCTTCCAATGCACATTGTGGAAGCTTCCTGAGCACAGTATTTCATCATTTTTCTGCCTCCGTGCTCCTGTTCCCATTGATCCCCTCACATAGATTGCTCTTCCACACACACTCATATCAAAATTCTATCCCTTTTCAATAACAACAATAACAACCACCAATTGTTGACCGTTTCCAAGCCATGCATTCTACATCCATTGTCTAATGCAATCCTCACAACAACCCTGTGGAATAGATATTATTGTACCCACTCTGCATACAAGGAACCTGAGGCTTAAATGTCCAAGATAAACCCAGCAACTAAATAACAGAGGCAGAACACAAACCATGGCCAGGCTGACACCAAAGTCTGCTTTTCCCATTATGCCACTTTGAGCCTAATATTCTCAGCAAACATCCCCCTGCATCCTAGAATCTAGGACCTAGATCACTGCCATGAAAAAAATTATTTCCTCTTCTATCTCCCACAGTATTTTGTGACTCTTTTGTGGATGTTACCTATTGCATTAAACTATATAGAGCATAATATAAACAGAATTGTTATTTATATTGCTTATCTTTTGTGCTAGAAAAATATGTCAGGGCAAATCCATGATCCCCCTAAGAAAAACAATCACATGCATGTTCCAAGTTGTATGTGCATTCACATCCCAAGGTCACCTCAGCCCAGGTATGTGACCTTGAATAAGTAACCAGAATTTTCTCTTCACTTTTTACTGATTAGTATAATGAAGGATAATAATAAAGTATGTATCATAGAGTTATTTTGAGGGTTAAACACTAGAACCGGGCTTGGTAAATAGTCAATGTTTAATAAATGTTTGCTACAGTTAACTGTTGAGACATATAAATATTATTGTGGTAAAAGGAATAGTCTGAAGCCCTTCTGTAAAGGAAAAAAATCTCACTCTGTTTCTGTCTAATCAGGACTCCAAATGTGGGTAGGGGTTTACCCCTCACTAAGTAGTTCTCCAATTTTGGGGGGACACTAAGTGGGTATCTTACAATTTAACTCAATTCTGACACTTTCCACCTGGATGTTCTACAATTGTCGTCAGCTTCAGATCCCACAGGTGAAGGATTCAGTCCCCTGCCCCACTTCAGACATCCAGGTTGTCACCTCATGTTCCCATGACCCCCTCCTCTGTTTGATTATTTGCTGGAGCAGCTCACAGAACTCAGGAAAACAGTACACTTGCTGGATTTCTAGTTGACTTACAAAAGAATATGCAGAGGGCAAGGCATGTGGCAGGGGTGTGGTGCTCCCATGCCCTCTCCAGGCACACGCCTTTCCCAGCACCTCCACATGTTCACTAACCTGGGAGCTCCGTAAGTCCAATTCTTTAAGAAAAAAAATAATGGAGGTTTTACTGTGTAGGTATGATTGATGAAATCATTAGCTATTAGTAATTGAATCAACCTCCAGCCCCTTTCCCCTCCCTTGAGGTAACTGTGGAGGGTGGTGGGCTGAAAGTCCCAATCCTCTAATCACATGGTTGGTTTCCTTGGCAACTAGCTCTCATTCTCTGGTTATCTAGGAGCTTTCTTACAATTCACCTCATTTCACCATTAATACTCTTGAGTTATTTCAGGAATGAAGTAAAAAAAAAAAAATAATGTTACAAAAGATGCTCTTAAGCTCTAATCACTTAATTACCAGGTATACGAGTAAGAGTTGTAGGAGTTATGGGCCAGGAACCATGGGTAGACATGAAAAAATATATGTATGTATATATATTTGACAACATTGCATGCTCCTTGGGGGAGAATTACTCTTTCCTGCCCCATTGAGCTAGGTTTGACCATGTGACTTCCTTTGTCCAATGAAAATGGAAAAGCAGTATGTGCCATTTCTGAGCCAAAGCTTGAAGAGCCATTGTGTGGTCTGTCACCTTCTTCTTTCTTTCCATCACAAATCTGTTTAATCAGCCTGGAAGACTCGGAGTGAAAATGATAGGAGCAGGACTGTGATGGACAACCAGGTGTGATAGACAAGTCATGTAACCGAGGCATAAAGCCTTGTTTTTATAAGCCTCTGAAATTCAGTGGTTTGTCACCACACTAACTTAGCCTAGGCTGACAGATACAGTTGTTAAAGTAGATTTATAGAAAGCTTCTAATTTAAGTATTTGCCTGCTATGTCATTATTCATTGATTCTTGGTACACTCAAGCCATTAAGCAGTTTTGACAACAGCCTGGCAGCCCCCTTCCCACTGAAATAGCTTTGGAACTTCATCTCACAGAAACTGGCTGATTCCAGAGGCCCTGGGATGTTTGTTATCAGGTGTCTGCCAGTTTTTCAGAACCCATGGCATTCTAAAGTAGAGAAACAGAACCCAGTTTCCAAAGTAGAGCCCTATTAATCAGCTCATCCTAATAAAAAGCATATTTGTAAAGTGCATAGACTGGGGTATGCATAATGACTAGTGTAGCTGGTTAAGCTGGTCTTTGGAGACTGTAGAGATGGTTGAAAACGTCTGGGCCAGGCTGTGTTGTCAGGGAGCCCCGTTCCGTAGCTCAGTTTAGGGTTCTTCTCAGGCGAGGCCAGCTCTCAGGTGAGCTTGGCTTCTACACGGCAGGCCCATGACCTCAACAAGCTGCCTTGCTGTACCCTGAGCTTCTCTCTCCTCTGACTCTGGAGAGGAACACTGTCTGTCCAGCTCCCAGAACCTTCCTAGCTGTGTCTCAAGAAAAGCATTTGTATCCTTTCATTAGCCTTTTTTCAATGCTTACTTCACTAAATGAGGAAAAAATACAGGTATGAGTAAATTTAGAAAGTTCCAGATTCCATCCACTTAAAATCCATGGTGTACAGTCCATGACTCCTTCTTGGATAAACTTGGATTTCCCCTTGCTAGATGTCAGAGGTTGGTGCTCCCACAACCTACAGATATATACATAATTGATTAATGCCCCAACCACTGAGCCACGTCAGCCAGGCTCCTTACAGCCCTTTGAACCCAGGATCAGGAATGCAGCTCAGCCTTGCCAGACCTAGAACAGAACCTGGGAGGTTTTCAGAAACCCAAACAGTTCCTCTTTCCTAAGTGCCAAGCACAACTGCTTCATGATTTCTCTGCTTCAGAGCAGTGTTCTGGCCCTCCCTATGACTATGAAAAATACAGCCACTCCACAGCCCTCAGGTTGAGTTCTTGGAGATGCCAGCCCCCACCCACAATGCCATGATGAGAATTTCACAGGTATTAAATGTTTTTATTCTCAGGACAACCCTATAAAGTAGGTACCTTTACTTTAACCAGTCACCATTATCCTATTTTGCAAATATGGAAATTGAGGCCAAGAAGAGTTAATATAGATTTTCTAGCTCATAAAGGGAAGGCTCAGGATTCAAACCAGATAGTCTGACTCCAAGGGCCATACTCTTGGGTCACAACCCTCTGAATCCAGATTTCCAGAGGGGAGAACCTGGAAGACTCAGTAGGTGGCAGGAATAGCCTTGGTGTCCTATGAATTATACCAGGCAGCTGAGGTTATTAGTACAAATATGGCAGCTGAAGATGAGGAGCCATAGTCTGAGGTGTGTGTGTGTGTGGGGGGGGAAGCACGTGCGGAAGAGGAGGGAGGACACAGGTTTCAGAAAAAGTGGAACATTGCATAAAAGGCATTACTCATAAAGGCGTACTACATCCTGTGCAGTAAGAGTTCACATTCCACATTTACTTGTGGACTGATTGAAGATTTGGCAAGTTCAACTACTTGTTCCAGGCTATGAATAAGTGAGACAAGATTCAACACTGCCTATTGAATTCTTAAGCCTTACTGTACACAATACACTTTCAGAGGAGGATGAATAGGACAGTTGAGAGAATGCATTATGTGACAGACTGCATGTTCCAAAAAGGACTAACACAAGTATTTCCCACCCCACATAATCTTCCTAAAATATTAACTTAGACATTTCTCCCAGTGAGATAAGGAGAACATAGTCATCCCCTTGGGCTTGGGAAGGTTTGGGTGGCTATGGCAGAAGTGACGCTCCAGGCCTATAAAAGATGATGTGGCTTGCTCTGTACTCTTGAAATGCTCCCTCTTGGAACCTAGCCACCATGCGGTGAGGAAGCCCAAGTCAGAAAGACCACATAGAGAAACCTCGAACCTAGAGCAGTGGTTGGCAAACTCATTAGTCAACAGAGCAGCAAACTGCCGCGAGCCACATGTGGTTCGAGAGCCGCAGTTTGCTGACCACTGACCTAGAGGAAGAGAAATGCCTGCCCCAGCTACCATCTAGCTGCAACCTCATGATGGAACCAGAGCTGGAACTGCCCCTGTGAGCCCTTCTCAAATGGTTTTAAGCCACTGAGTTTTGGGCGGATGTGCTATACAAAAACAGTAACCAGACAAGCATATCTGAGGAACAGCGCTCTTCAGGAGTACATGAGAGCACCTTCAGGTGTCTGAGGCTATGATGTCTAAGTGGAGTGCGACGTGACGTTCGAAGCTCTAGAAGACAGCACCGAGATCTGCAGTTGGGGATACGCCAGGGAGGCAAACGTGATTCTTCACGGAGTTCTTCTCTAACTGTAGAGCTTTAAAACAGTCATGCAACAGTGAGCCCTGTGCCACCTGACATATTCAAGTAGAGGATGGCCATCTTAGATAAGGTTCCAGAGGGCCCAGAAGACCCCAAAGGCACTTTCCAGCTCTAGAAGATATAATTCTAAATGAGTTAAGGCAAAAACTGTTTTTGAAGCATTTAGTAAACCCTTCTTAGAACAGGTAAGGCCTAATCTGGGCTTTTCAAGTTGGAGAGGGTTGGGAAATGTGAAAAGCAGAAGGAGGGACCACTCAGCAAAGAGCCAACAGAAACTGTTTATTTAGCCAGCAACACCAAATCAACCATGCCCCTCTCCCCTGAAGACCTACTCTTTCCTCACCCATTCATAGTGTATTATGGGAAATCATAGTGTATCATGAGAAACCCTTTCTCAGTCTGCAACCCTTTTGGCTCACTCAGTGTTCAATCTCATTGGTTGTTAAGTCATTCCTCTCTTATCTCCAGTTAAGTCCTACATCTCTTCATTGTGTCCCATTTGCACTGTCAATGGCTTTGTTCATGCCATCATCATCTCTCAACTAGATAACTGCAACATTCCTGGGCATAGGCTTTTATGAAATCACTAGAGGTCCAGTGCATGAAATTTGTGCGGGGGCGGGGCAGGGGGTCTCCCTCAGCCCAGCCTGCATCCTCTCCAATATGGGAATACTGGCTCCTAACCGCTCACCCATTTGCTGTCCTGATCCCCCTAACTGCTCTCCCCTGCTGGCCTGATTGCTCCTAACTGCCTCTGCCTTGACACCATGGCTTTGTCTGGAAGAACGTCCGGAAGGTTGTCCGAAAGATATCTGGTTGAATTATCATATTACCCTTTTATCAGTATAGATATACCTGTGGGATGGGCCTAAACTGGCAGTCAGACATCCCTCTCGCAATCCAGGACCACTGGCTCCTAACCACTCACCTACCTGCCTGCCTGGTTGCCCCTAATTGCCCTCCCCTGCTGGCCTGGTTGCCCCCAACTGCTCTCCCCTGCCAGCCTGGTTGCCACTAACTACCTCTGCCTTGGCCCCTGCCAATGTGGCTTTGTCCAGTAGGATGTCTGGAAAATGTTCAGTCTAATTAGCATGTTACCCTTTTTATCAGTATAGATTCCTCAGAATGCGCCAAACCTTGTCTCTAAAACCAAAGCCTTCATTTAGTTTCCAGTGCCTTCAGAACAGAGTTGAAATTTCTTAGGCACACAAGGCTTTCATGATATGGCAGAGAATGATCGAGGAGGTGAACAAAGATGGGTCAGGGACAGGCAAAGACATCAATTTCTGCCTTAGTTTTTTTTTCTTTTTTTTTTCTTTAATATATTTTTATTGATTTTAGAGAGGAAGGGAGAAATAGAAACATTAATGATGAGAAAGAATCAGATCAGTTGCCTTCTGCAGGCCCCCTACTGGGGACTGAGCCTGCAACCCAGACCTGTGCCCTTGACCAGAATCGAACCAGGAACCCTTCAGTCCACAGGCTTTTGGTGAACTTGAGCTCTGTCCACTGGGCCAAATTGGCTAGGGTCCTACCTTAGTTGCTTAAGGCTGCTATAACAAATTACCACAAACTGTTTGGCTTAATATAACAGACATTTATTTTTTCACAGTTTTGGAGGCTAGAAGTCCAAGATCAAGGTGCTAGAAGGGCTCTGCTCCCCCTGAAGGCTGTAGGGAAGAATTCTCCACTGCCTCTTCCTGGAAAATACTGGCAGCTGTATCACTCTAATTTCTGTCTCCATCTTCACGTGGTCTTCCCTGGGTGCGTGGGTTCCAATCTCTCTCTCCTTTCTCTTATAAAGATACCAGTCATTGGATTTAAGGCCCATCTCACTTTAACTGGGTTATACCTGCAAAGACCCTATTTCCAAATAAGGTCCCATTCACAGGTGCTGGTGTTTAAGACTTGAAGGTATCTCTTGGAGACACAATTCAACCCTCTACATTTTACACTGGTGGAAACTACAGACCAATGGCTTACTACAGGGAAGGAATCCTGCTCGTGAAAAAGTTTGGGATGAAATGCAGTATTTCAGGAGACGAAGAGCTAATATGAATAGGATACCTCAGATGACCAGGAAGGCTTCCTGAACAATGGAGTAGCATGTATAATTAAACGATAAATTTTTACTCGTGAAAAATCAATCTGGAAGCGAGATATAGACAAGAGTAGAAGAGATAAAATTAGAAATTCAGCTAGTATGTCACATTAGCCCACATGTGAGGACACAGGCACAGGATTAGGGTGTTAGCCCCAGGAAGCTGTTAATTCTGCCTCTTTTGTTCAGCAATATATCCCAAGAACCTAGAACAGTGTTGGTCACATCAGAGGTGCTGGGTACACATTTGTTGACTAGCTGACTGGGTGGAGGAAGTAGATGCCACAGACCCGTTCAGAGGTGGACTGAATTAGCTGGTCCTGGCACATGACAGGGGTCCAGAAGTAGCATCCGTTGAGCTTCATTTCAAGTCAAGCCCGTAATGGGCACCTGCTCCAGACAGAACCGAACCTCTCTCATACCACCTGCAGCCTGGCATCCTATCTGACTTTGGGCTATTCCCTACCGCAGCACAGAAGGCATCACTTCCTTCGTGACTGAGCGTGTCCTCCGCAGCACGTCGTACACAGTGAGCCCCCAATATAACTTTTGGCGAACTTGTGCATAATTCAGTTTCTACATATCCACAAAACCGAAAGGTTTTCCCCCGAACGGAACTCTGGATTTTACACTTCTGTACGCCTCAAAGCGCCTGCCTGGCGCATGGCGCCTACGAGCCCTTGTTTAACCAAACAGAATAAATCAGATTCACCCAGTTCCGCCCTGGCAGCGACGTCTGCACTTGGCAGGACAACAGAATCCACGGCCATTAAATTCTTATGTAAGAGTTAATGACCCTCCCGGCCCACTGACATGCCTCCCACCGCCGAGAAAGGGAAGGGAAGGGAAGAGAAGGGAAGGAAAGGGAAAGGAAGCGAAAGCACGACTACACGCACGCACACACGCTCCAGGTGGTCGATGCACAGATTAATTTCTAGTCTCGGTTCCCCACAACCATCTGAAAACACCGCTGCAGGCGCTGCAGGCGCGGGCGGGCGGGGAGCGGCGGGGCGGGCGCGCGGCGTTGGGTTCGGGCGCAATCGGGTTCCCAGGGAGGCCTGCCCGCCCGGCGCGCCCCGGCCCCGGGTCTGCGGTGACAGCGGCCCCGGAAGGGGCCTCGGGTGCACCGCGGTCCCCGGGTGCACGCCGGTGCAGCCTCGGTCCGGGAGCCCCGCCCGGGTGGGGCAGCAGGCGTCCCTCCCCGGACTCCCGCGGCCCCGGCCCCGTGATCACCCGGCCCGCCGGCTGCGGAGGACGCCGAGCCGGGCTTCCTGAGCCCGGGGCCCGGCGGGCGCGCGGGCGGGGCGGCGAAGATGGCGGTGCGGCCGGGCCCCCGGCGGCCGCGAGGGGCCGCGGTGTTGCGCGCTCGGCTGGGCCCGCGCGGCTAGAGAGGCGCCTGGGCCGGCGCGGCCTCCTCCCCGCCCGCCCGCCCGCGCGCCCCGCCCCGCGCCGCCCGCCCCTCCCCGGCCGCGGCCGTGCCCCGCGCCGCGCTCCCCCGGGATGGCCCGCGCGCCTCGGCGCTGCCTGGCGGAGCTCACGGCGGAGCAGCGGCCGCGCTCGGGGGGCGCGCGGCGGCGGCGGCGGCGGCGGCGCGGCGCGTGAGGGGCCGCCTCGGGCCGCGCGGGCGCCGCCAACATGTCGGATACGAAGGTAAAAGTTGCCGTCCGGGTCCGGCCCATGAACCGGCGAGGTGAGGAGCTTTTCCGCGCGTTTCTGTCGGGGGGCTGGCCGGGGAGGGCGGGGGCAACTTTGGGAGATTGCGGAGCGGCGGGGCCGGGAGGGGAGCGCGCGGCCGAGGAGGAGGCCGGGGAGCCGGGGACCGGGCGGAGGCGGAGGCGGCGCCCGCACCGGCACCGGCTGTGCAGCCCCGGGCGCCGGGGTCCGGCTCGGCCGCCTCCCGGGGTAGCCCGCGCCGCCGGCGGGATGCTCGACTTTGCAACGCCGGTGTTGCCTTTGCTTTCAGAACTGGAACTGAGCACCAAGTGCGTGGTGGAGATGGAAGGGAACCAGACGGTCCTGCACCCTCCTCCTTCCAACACCAAACAGGGAGAAAGGTAACGCGGGCGCACAGAGGGCGGGACGAGGACCTGACCTCGCAGTCAGTCCCCAAGTTGGAGCCAGGAAAATGGGAGTCTCTTTCCTATTGTTAGGGGAATTGGCTTCAAGTTTGTCGCACGCTCTTGTCTGAAGCTGTTGCAAGTCCAAGTTCCTCTCCTCCCTGCCGCCCCCCCCCCCCCCCCCCCCCCCCTTCTGGAGCGGCTTCGGGCCGGCACCCCGGCTAGAGCTCGCACCAGTCAGCTGTGCCCCGGCAGGCCCAAGCCTAGAGGCACCCAGACTGAGAGGGGCCAGCATGGGTGGGATCCTAAAGATGATTAGTCTAACAGCCACATTTTGCAGATAAGAAAACTGAGGCCAGAGTGGGCAGGTGACCACCACCCTAAGACCTTGTTTTTCGCGGGACCCAGTGCCCCACTTTCTTTGCACCGCTGCACTGTCTCCTTCATGTGACAGTACTTTGTGTATAACAGGAGAGAAGACCCCCACAATAAAACAAAAACAGTCCTGTATGATCCAGGCTGAGGCCTGGACCATGTAAAATCTTTTTGGTGCTGATGTTGGGTTGAGATAATGCCTGAATGGAATATGCGAAGTTTTTGATTTTCAAGGAAACAAAAGTCTTGTCCTAGTTGTGTAGACACTGGGGGGAATGTCTAAAAGGGGGCTGCGTTTACCAGAGGGCAACATATTTGCATTTGAAAAGTTGTAACTGTTGGATCCTTATTAATTCTGCTCTATTCCACCCAGCAGTATGGGAAAATGCCCTAAAATAATTTAAATATTTGGCATTTTTTCTGGTAAGCCCCCTGAGAAGAAAAAGGTTGGAATTCATTCAATATAGCAGTGTATAAGCTTACAAAATATAGGAATGAAAAAAAACCCGGGAGATTTGGCAAAATTAATTCCTCTAGGTCTAGGGACATCAGTATGAGTTTGTGTTCCTAATCACCTGTTGACTGATGCGCTACAACTTAGTGATTTTTGCTCTTCAGAGGTTTTCAATGAAGACTCTGAAAGTAGGACTTGTTACTTTATTGCTAAAAGAAGCAACTGCCTCCATTCTATAATCATGTGGTGTTCAGGCACAGTTTTGCTAAATTTGGGGGAAGAAATTATCAGGATGTAAGATTTGGTGTTTTGTTTGTTTTGTTTTGCTCTTTTTGTACCAAAGCAAGCAAGTTTGCAAACATTTTGCTACCTAGAGCAGATTGCTGTGGTCATAGTAAATAGCTCAGTTGTATTTAAAATGTTGTGTTAAATACTTTTAAGTGGTGGATGTATCCTAGGGTAATATTTTTAGATACATTTTAAATATAGTAATTTAGATACATGTTTAGCAGTGTAGTTGTATATTTCATGGGAAGTAAGTAAACTCATTGAGTACATGAAAATATCACCACCACCCCACTCCCAAACTGGATATTTTTCTATGGTTTCAGAAAA